GGTAATTACCGGTAATTACCGGGTAATTACCGCAGAAGGGTAATTACCCGGTAATCAGGGCGTCCGCGGACGGCTAGAGGCGGTATGGCGGCTCGAAAGGACCACCGCGAACCCGCGTGTCGACCGAATTCTCTTTTAGGTGGCTTCCACGCGACAACGCCGGCGGCGCGCTACGGCGTGGGGGGCGTCGCCCGGCGCGCCCGTCGCGACGTCGCGACGAGCAGCCGCTCGGTCGCGGTTTCGCGCCGCGCGTCGACCGCGATGCGAAACACGACCGCGACGGGCCGCGACGCTCGGATCGTCAGCCACGTGTACTAGCGGACCGCGGCCTGTACGCGGATTACCCGGTATCGAATTATGGCACCGGGTAATTACCGGTAATTACCGGTAATTACCATTACCGGTAATATACCGCCAAATTACTCCGGCGGCTATAATTCGCCTTGCCGCAGGCCTCGCCGCGCGTCGCCCGTGGAAGTCGGTCCTCGGCCTCGCACTGCCGCTTCTCGAGCCGCCGCCTCTCGACCCCCACGCTTAGCCCGGCTCCTTGTTCGGCGCGTCGAGGAGGGCGAGGTCGAGGTCGAGGTCGAAGTAGATGCGGCGGCGCATGAGGCGGTCGAAGCCGAGGTCCGCGAGGGTCTCGTCGAGCTCCCGGTGCGGCAGCGACGCGAGGAACTTGCCGTCGCAGCCGTGGGACTCGAGGCCCGGCGCCGCCGCGCCGTAGGCCGCGCCGAGGCCCGCGACGCGCGCCGCGAGCCGCGCCGCGTCGAGGGCCGCGAGGTCGCGCCGCGGGTCCGGCGCCGCGGCGCCGGCGTTTGCCTCGCCGGGTCCGGCGCCGGCGCCCGGGGCGCGGCGGCCTGGTGGCGCCCCCGCGCCAAGGGGAGCCGCTTCGCCGGCGGCTCATTGGACCGCCGGCGCCGCGCGCCGAGGCCGCGGAAGACGCCGTCGAGGAGCGCGTCGCCGCGCGCCTTGAGCGACGGCGGCGCCGGCGGCTCGCCGTGGAGCGCGTCGAGGTTGTCGAGGCTCCAGGAGTGGTTCGCGCGCACGCCCTCCAGGATCGCCGCGCGCGCGTCGGGCGCCGCGCGCCGCGGGGGCCGCGCGGCGGGCGCGGCCCCGCCGCCGTCGGACCCGAAGTCGTCGTCGGACGGGTCCGACTCCTCGTCGCGGTCGCCGGCGCCGCCGCGCCGCGCGAGGCGCCGCAGCGCCCGCGTGATGTCGCGGCCGCTGCCGCGGCGCCGCGCGGCGACGTCGACGTGACGCAGCTCCGACGACATGCGGAGCATGTCGCGGAGCTGGCGGTTCGCGCGCTCGGCGCGCGCCCAGCGCCGCCGCGCGGCCAGGAGCTCGCCGTAGAGCTCGCACTTGCCCGCGTCGAGCGACGTGACGTCGCTCGACGAGTCGTGGTGCGCGTCGTCGTCGGGCGCCGTGTGCTCGGGGTCCGCCGGCCGCCGGCCGTAGGCCGCGAGGCGCTCGACGTTGTCCCGCGTCCGCTCCTCGAGCTCCCGCGCCAGGTCCTCGCTCGTCGCCCGCTCGCAGGCGAGGTCGCCCCGGCAGCGCTCCAGGGCCGCCCGCGTCTCCTCCAAATCCTGGACCGTGCGGTCGTGGCTCTTGAGGAGGTCCCGCGTGTAGGCCTTGAGCTGCCGGAACTTCTGCTGCGCCTTCGCGTCCTCCGTCGGCGTCGCCGGGAGCGCCCCCGCCTCCTCGGGGCAGTCGGCCATGCCCATGGACGGGCAGCCCCAAGGCCTGGTCAGCTTCTTGATCGGTGCTCCGAAATCACGTCACCTTTGACCGCCGGGCGCCCCGGCCGAGGCCCTGCGTCTCGGTGGACGGCCACCGTTGTTGCGGGTCGAAGAAGTGTGGGTCGTGTAGGCCCGGGGATCCTATCTTACGTCACAGGAAGGAGACGACGTGGCGGAAGGGCCCGGTCGTGCAGTGGGCCGCCGCGGCCGCGCGCGCGGGCGCCTTGCGGAGCGGCGCGGCGCGCGCGTCCGGCGGCCGCGCGCGGTGCGCCGGCGGCGGCGCCCGGCGCGACGTCGGCGACCCGCCGCCGGGGTCCAGCGCCGACGTGAGGAAGACGAGCACGCGGCGGAGGCCGTCGCCGCCGTCGTCCGCCGGCGGCGCGGGCACCGCGCGGCCGCGGACCACGAGCGCGCGCATGACGACCAGGGGCAGCCGCCGCGCCGCGCGGACGTGCCGCGTCCAGGCGATGGACGCCGCGGAGCCGCCGACGCGGAGCACCTCGTAGAGGAAGTCCAGAGTCGCGTTGGGCCCGGCCCCGTTGACCGCGTTGCGCTGCTTCGCGGCCGCGTCCAGGGAGCAGAGGCCCCGGAAGTCGCGCTCGAAGAGGTTCACGCCCCGCGACGCGAGGTAGGCCAGCGCGTTCAGGTTCCCCCGCGACGCGGCCGACTGCGCGAGCGTGTTGCCCCGGGCCAGGCCCCGGCTCGCCAGATCCGCGCCCGCGTGCGCGAGGATGTCGAGGCAGCGCACGTCCGGCGTGTGCACGGCCGTGGACACGGCGGAGAGGCCCCGGTTGTTGCGCCGCGTGATCGACGCGCCGCGCCGGAGGAAGTACGCGACCAGATCCGCGTGGCCTGGGCAGGAAAAGGGTGCGAAATTCCCAACTTTGGAGGCTCCTATCTCGGCCGTTTTCCACTCGTTTCGGCTGATTTTGGGACGAGCGATCATCCCTCGGAGCGCTCTCGACGCGTGGATGCTTTTTCCGGAACGCGCGCGCGCGGAACACTCATGTTGAAGCGAACTTGAATCACCCTTTTCCTGCCCTGCGCGTGGCCGCAGTGGCACGCGACCTGCAGAGGGCTCAGGTCCGTCGCGCGCGTGGGCCACTCCAGGTCCGCGCCCAGGTCCAACAGCGTCGTCGCCGCCTCCATGTGGCCCAATCTCGCCGCGCGCGTCAGCAGCGTGTCGCCGCGGCTGCAGAGCTCGTGGGAGGCCTGGCGCCGGAGGTCGTCGGCCGTGAACCCGGCCTCGCGGAGCATGGCGCAGGCCGTCCCGGGGAACGCGCTCAAAGCGCGGAACGCGATGGTCCAGGCGTCGTTCTCGTCGACGTGGTCGCCCGTGGGCGCCGCGGCCATGGTCGCCATCGTTTCGGTTCTCGTGGAATCGGCGGCCGCTCGTCGAGTGCCGCGCGTTCTCGAGCGAGATTTTTTGGTCTCGCGTTTCCTCCGGGCGGATACGAGCGGATGCGCGACAGGCGGCGTCGGCGGGTCGACGGGGCGGGCGGAGGGGCGGCGGACACAAGCTGGAATCGCACGGCCAGGCTCGCGTCGGTGCGGGTGCTCCTTCGCCTCAGAAGCGCAACAGTGCCTGCAAGCTTGGACGCTGCCCCCCCATCTCCATTGTGCGATGGCCGCAAGCGCCGAGCCCAGTCTGCAGATCCTCGGCCGCGAGGACGTGGCGCCCATCGACCTCGCGCCGGCGCCGGAGGACGACGCGCACATGCTCCTGCTCAAGCGCGCCGCGGGCTTCGGCGAGGTGCGCTGCGTGGCGCCGGTGCTGAACCCGGCCCTCGCGCGCTTCGTCGTCAACGCCAGCGACGGCGAGAAGATGTACGAGCGGCTCGACGAGGCGTTGCGCCTCCTCGACGTCTGCAACGTCGAGCACTGGCTCTGCGCGGGCACGCTGTTAGGCCAGTGCCGCCACGGGGGCATCATCCCCTGGGACGACGACGCGCGGCCCCCGGCGCCGCGTTCCCGGCGCCGCGCGGCCGAGCACCGCGCGCAGGTCGACCTCGCCGTGGGCCCCCTCGACGCGCCGCGGCTCGGCGAGGCGCTGGCGGCGCACCTGCCCGACGCGGGCTGGGCCTTCGAGCGGACGTTCTACGGCTACAAGATGTGGAAGGGCGACCGGTGCGCTTGGTCGATGCGCCGTCGCTTCATATGGAACGCGTAGGTGGCCCTTCGTCGACCTGCTGACCATGGAATTCGACGAGGCGTCGGGCAACGTGCGCTACGCCGAGGCCGCGGCGCGCGAGGCCTGGCCCAACGAGTGGTGGGCCGTCGACGAGCTGCGCGTCGCCGCGCCGCCCCCCTTTGGTGTCGCCGAGGCCCCGTTCGCAGGTACCCGCTGCGCTGCGCCGACTTCGGGCCGCGCCGGTCGCGCGTGCGCCGCGTCAAGGCGCCCGCGCCGGGCCGGCCCGCCAACTACCTCGCCCGCGCCTACACCAAGGACTGGAAGACGGCGCGGCTGCCGGCGCCCCGCCTTTTTTTGGATTTTTTCATTTGGGCAACAGGTCGCGCGCACGCCGGTCTGGGACCACCGCCGCGACCGCTGGCACGACGACGCGAAGCGGGGCCACGCGGCCGAATCCGTCGAGCTCAAGGCCGCGGACCGCGTGCCCCTCGGCCACCGCTCCCTCGACGACGTCGGGGGCGCGGAGTACGCGCCGCCGCCCGACGACGGCGCCGCGCCCACGCCGACCATCGGCCACTTCCTCGAGCACCTCGAGGTGACCAAGGGCCACTACGCGCGCCCGACGGGCGTCCAGTCCGACACGAAGGAGTAGGGGATAGGGACGCGCTGCCGAGGGTGGGGGGGGGGTCGTCGGGTCGCGGGCCGGCGACGTCGACGCCCCAACGCGGCCAAGAGCCTGCCAAGCCAGCCGAGGGCCGGCGACATCGACCTCGGCTTGCTCGACAGACGAGGTGTGGCTCAGTTTTGGCAGCCTCTCGCGCGCGCCTGCCTCCCACCGCGCCGACACCGACGCTCCACAGCCACCCGCGATGGCGTCCGCCCTCGCGAACCTCGCGAAGCATTCCCTGGGCAAGGCCCTGCGCGAGACGGGGACGGCCATGGAGCGCACGTCCAAGGCCTTTGTTGGCGACCTGAGCTTCTGGGACCACGTCTCGCGGCACACGACGGCCGTGCCCGTCGACGCGCAGAGCCCCTGCGTCGCCGAGAGCGCCTGCGTGGCGCCGTCGGCGACGCTCGTGGGGGGCGCGGCCGTCGGCGCCAAGGCGACCGTCGGCGTCGGCGCGGTCGTCTACGGCCCCGCGGCCGTCGGCGACGGCGCCGTCGTCGGCCACGGCGCCGTGGTCAAGGCCGACGTTTTTGGCGCCGTCGCGGACAACGCCGTCGTCCTGGAGGCCGTGCCCGAGGGCGAGCTCTGGGGCGGCGCGCCCGCGGCCTTCGTGAAGAAAATCTAGTAGGAAGACACGCTAGCTAACTCCCGTAGAGGTGCGCCCGGAGGTAGGCGGCGGCCTTGTCGAGGCCCGCGTCGCGCCGCGACGCGGCGGCGGCGTTGTTGAGGAACGCGTGGACGGTGCCGCGCGCGAGCCACAGCTCCGAGGGCGCGCCCGCCGCGAGGAGCGCGTCGTGGTAGAGGAACGCCTGGTCCGCGAGGGGGTCGAGCTCCGCGGCGAGGATGAGCGTCGGCGTCGCGAAGCCGTCGAGGTCCAGCGTCTTCGCGGCGACCGCGTCCAGCGGCGCGACGCGCCAGTCGTCGCGCCGTTCGCGGTACGCGACCTCCCGGACGTAGTCCAAGAACTCGCGCGTCAAAAAGTGGCCGTGGCCGTACTCGGCGACGCTGCGCTCGTCGCAGCGCAGCCCGAGCTGGGGCGTGCAGAGCAGCTCGCAGCGGAGCCACGGCTTCTTCGGGAGCGCGTTCGGCGGCGTCTCGCCCTCGCCGTCGCTCTCGTCGTCGTCGTCGCGCGCGAGCAGCGCGGCGACGTGGGCCAGGTTCGCCCCCGCGGACTCGCCGGCGAGGGCCACGCGCGCGCCGTCGACGGTGCCCGCGTTGGGCAGCGCGGGCGAGCCTCTACAGTACGATACCGCGGAGCGGACGTCGTCGAGCCCCGCGGGGAAGGGGTGCTCCGGCGCGAGGCGGTACTCGACGGAGACGACGGCGACGGCCGCGCGCACCGCGAGCTCGCGGCAGAGGCCGTCGACGTGTCTGCGGGACCCGGACATGAAGCCGCCGCCGTGCGCGAAGACGACCGCGGGGAGCGAACGTTCGTCGTGCGGCGGCGCGTAGACCGTCAATTTCGCGCCGTCCTTGACGGCGTCGGCCGTGAAGATTGTGGCCTCCGGCGGCGGCGGCGCGTACTTGAAATTGTCGGCGTCGAGCAGCCCCCGTAAAACGTCCGCGGGCACGTCCAGCAGCGACTCCGGCGGCCCCATGGTCCGGTTCCGCGCCTCGAGCATCGCGCGCGTCTCGCTGTCGCAGTACTCGCTGATGCCCAGGCCGTCGCGCCGCGCGCCGAAGGGCCGCGGCGGCGACCGGTCCGTCGGCAGCGGCGGCGGCAGCGTCTCGTCTTCTCGGAGCTCGAGGAGCTCCGTCTCGTCGAGGAGCTCGAGCACGCGCATGCTGCCCCAGCCGACGACGGCGCTCACGCCCTCGTCGAAGCGCTCCGCCGCGCCGCCCTCGGGCATGGACGCGGCGACGACGTAGGCCCGGTCCGTCTCGCCGACGGTCGCCTCCTTGGCGACGGTCACGATCGTGTCCGTCGGGTACTGGATGATCTTCTTCGAGTCCATGGCCGCCGCCGCGCGCAGCAGCAGGCCCTTGCCCTTGACGCGGTAGCGCCGCGCCATCTCTCTGGACGCACGACTCGTCCGTCGATCACGCACTACCCGGCCATGGCCGCGGCCGATGGCCGATGGACGACGGCGCCGCGCGCGGGCAGCCTCGTCACATGGTCAACGTGTGGTGCAACGACAAACTTACGCCCGCTCGAGGTCGTCGTCGAGGTACTCGATGATGATCTCGTCGAGGTCGCCGTCCGTGTCGCGCTGCTCGATGATGGGGCCCTGGCTGACCTCGCCGAAGACGAGGCTCGGCGGGAGCTTCCGCGCGACGACGATCGTGATGGGCCGGTCCGGGTGCGCGGCGACCGCGGCCTTGATCTCGTCCTCGCCCTCGCACCACGTCTCGCCGACCTTGATGACCTTGTCGCTGTACTGCAACCCGAGCGTCTCCGCCTCGCCGCCGGGCTGGAGCATGCCCGGCGTGCCGTTCGGGCAGAACGCGATGCCGAGCGTCGGGCCCTCGAAGGTCAGCGGCACGCGCTCGCGCTTCGGGTCCTCGTCGGGCTCGGCGCGCTTCGGCTTCTTCCGCGCCACGGTGATCGTGATGGGCCGCTGCGGGTGCGCGGCCACCGCGGCCTTGATCTCGTCCTCGCCCTCGCACCAGACGTCGCCGACCTTGACGACCTTGTCCGAGTACTGCAACCCGAGCGTCTCGGCCTCGCCCCCGGGCTGGAGCATGCCCGGCGTCCCGTTGGGGCAGAAGGCGATGCCCAGCGTCGGGCCCTCGAAGGTCAGCGGCACGAGGTCGCGCGCGGGGTCGAGCTTCGGCGGTTTCGGCTTTTCTCGCGCGTAGCGCTCGATCGTGATCGCGAGCGGCCGCTCCGGGTGGCCGCCGATGGCGGCGCGGATCTGCGCGTCGCTCGCCACGTCGACGTCGCCGACCTTCACGACCCGCTCGCCGACCTTGACGCCCTTGGCCTCGCCCTCGCCGCCGGGCTGGACGCCCCGCACGGCGCCGTCGGGCCCGAAGGCCAGACCCAGCGACGGCCCGTCGATGGTCACGGCGACGCGCTCCTTCGGCGGCGGCTTCTCCACCGTCAGCGCCAGGGGCCGCTCCGCGTGCGCGCCGACGGCCGCGCGGATCGCCGCGTCCGTGTCGACGTCCTTCTCGCCGACGCGGAGCACGCGGTCGCCGACCGCGAGCCCCTTGGCCTCGCCCTCGCCGCCGGGCTGGACGCCGCGGATGCGGCCGTCGGGCCCGAAGGCGAGGCCCAGGGACGGGCCGTCGATCTGCACCGTCGCCCGGGGCCCCGGCGGCGGCGGCGGCGCCGCCTGCCGCTCCGACTGCCTCCGGTGCGCCTCGGAGACCAGGGGCGTCGACGGCACGGCCTCGGCCTCCACGGCCGCGTCGCCCTCGCCGGGCCCGACCGCGCGCGCCTCGGCCTGCACGGGCGCGGCGGGCTTCTCGTCCTTGGCCTTCATCTTCAGGTACACAAAGTAGCCCAGCGCGCAGAACGTCACCGCGGCCCAGATCGTCACGCCGAGGACGAACGTGTTCGAGAAGAGATCCTCCAAATCCGCCGACGCGGACATGACGAGGTCGTCGTCGCCGTCGTCGCCGGGCGCCGCGACGGGCCGGGGCGTCTTGCTGTTCGGGCGGAGCGTCGGCCGCTTCGTCGGCGTGCGGTCGAAGCTCCCGACGGCGTCGTCGAAGAGCGCGTCGATGAGGAAGTCGTCGGAGCCCGGCGCGCGCGTCGGCGACGGCGCGGACCCGACCCAGACGAGCTCGACGGTGAAGACGAGCGTCGCGCCGCCGTCGATCGCGCCCGACGGCGACCCCTTCTTCCCGTAGGCCGTCTCCGGCGGGCACACGAGCTCCCAGACGTCGCCGGGCCGCATGTCCTGCAGCGCGTACTTCCAGCACGAGATGACCTGCGCGGGCTTGAACTCCGCGATCTCGCCGCGCTTGTAGGAGCTGTCGAACGTCGGCCCGTTCGGGTAGTCCTCCGTGAGCCGGCCCTCGTAGTGCGTGCCCGTCGTCGTGTAGAGGTCCGGCGACTCGCCGGCCTTGTCGCCCTTCTCCAAGATCTTGTAGTAGAAGCCCCCGGCGTGCGTCTTCGCGCCCTTTTGCGTCTTATAATCTTCGGCGAAGAGGACGCCGTCGTCGTCGACGGTGAAGATCGTCGGCTCGGGCGTCGGCTCGGGCGTCGGCTCCGGGGACCCGTCCGTCGGCGCGCCCGTCGGCGACGGCAGCCCCGCGGACTCGAGCGCGACGAGGCTCTCCGCCGTGTCCACCGCGGCGTCCTCGAGCGCCGTGCCGCCGCCGAACTGCGCCAGGTTCGTCTCGAGGACGCCGTCGGCGACGGACGCCTCGAGCGTCTCGACGACGCCGTCGGCGAGGGCCGCCGGGTCCTCGGAAAGGCCCGTGACCGCGAAGTCGACGTGCGCCTCGTCGTGGCCCGCCAACAGCCGCCGTCGCCGGTCGTGGTCGTGCGCGACGGGCTCGGAGACGCAGGTCTCCCAGTCGCTCTGCGGGTCCGGGCAGACGTCCGGGGACGTGACCGTGTAGGCGACGGCCACGCGGAACGCGTCCTTCGCCTCTTCGTCCGCGTTGAAGTCCGCGGCGTTGACGCCCGCGAGGACGACCGTCGCGGAGACCGTCGCCGCCGCGGGCCCCGTCCAGGCGACGGCGACCTTTTGACCGGAAGCGCAGTGCGACCCCACGGAGCACGCCGCGTACGTGACGTCGCCCGCCGTTCCCTCCAACGGCACGCCCGACGCGTCGCCCAAAAACTCCGCGCCCTCGAAGTCGCAGGCCTCCCAGCGGTCCTTGCCCGCCATGAGGTAGACGTCGTGCTTCCCGGAGGCCCAGACCACGGACACCGTCGCCGACGCGGGGAAGCGCCGCGTCTTGTCGGCTTCGCCGAAGATCGCGACCCAGTCGACCGAGTACTCGTCGCAGTAGTCCGAGACGAAGACCAGGACGTCCTCGGCGCACGTCGCCGCGCACGCGAGGTCCGCGTCGAACCAGCCGCAGGGCGGCGTCTCCGCGTCGTAGGCCGCGCAGCCCTCGAGGCACGCCAGATCCGGCGGCCCGTCGGACGACAGCACGTGCTCGCACTGATACGCCAGAAAGTCGCGCTCGTCGCTCGAGCACGTCGACGCGCACTCCCCGGCCTCGAAGACGCCGCAGTCCTCGCCGCAGTCCGCGAAGCACGCGCCGAAGCCGCCGTAGATCGCCGACGACTCGTAGCCGTCCACCGTAAAGCCGCCGTCCGCGCCCCGCGCCCAGACCGTCGGGAAGCCCGGCGTGTCCCGCGCCAGGCCCGCCGCCTCCTCGACGACGGCGCCGGATTCGTCCACCAGCAAGACGTGGTCCCCGACGTCGAAGGGCGCGTCGCAGGCCGCCGGCACCTTGAGGAAGCCGCCCGCCGGGACGACGTCGCCGCCCGAGAAGACGTGCGTCGCCGCGCCCGACGCGAGCGCCGTCCCCGGCGCCAGCTCGACGTCGTCGTCGCCGTCGTTGTAGAAGAGGACCCAGCCGCCGTCGCCGCAGCCGCCCTTCGTGCCGACCTGGTACGCGACGAGGTCGCCGAGCGAGCCGCCGCAGCCGCAGCTCTCGAGGCACTTTGTGGAAGCGAGGCTCCCGTCGTCGCCGACGGCGCCGCAGCGGTGGTCCGGCGACGCGAAGACCCAGGCGCAGTCCTTCCAGGGCGCGCCCGCGTGGAACCAGGCCTCGTCGTCGGCGCACCAGGGGTCCTCGTGGACGTGCGTCGTCGTAACGTTCGTCGCGTTCGTCGCGTTCGTGCCGTTGAGCCACCCGTGGCCGTCGAGGCGCCGCCGGCAGTCGCAGCCGGCGCAGGCGCAGCCGAGCTCGAAGAGCACGGCGTCGCAGGTCTGCGGCGCGTAGGCCTCGCACGTCAGCGCCGCGCAGACGTCGCCGCAGACGTCGCCGTCGTCGCCGAAGCCCGCCGCCGCGCCGCAGTCGCAGCCGAGGCAGTCGCAGCCGTGGTCGCGGGACGCGGCGGCGCACACGGCTTCGCTGTAGCGCGCGCAGCTCAGGCCGTCGCAGACGGCGTCGCACCGCTCGGAGAAGCCCCGCAGCCGCGCGGCGGCTCGAGCCGCCTCGACGAGGCCGAGCGCCGCCGCCCAGCGGCGGCCCATCCTGCGGATGGTTCGCCGCGCCTGTGGCAACGCTCCTGCGTCGCCGGGTCGGCGGCGCCGCGCGCGGCCGCGCTCGGATGACCGCCGGAAGCGGGGGCTGCGCCCGACCGTAGCAATTTTCGTGGGGGTCAAGGTGCCGAATAACTGTTGAGTTGCAGTTCTCGTTGTGGCGGGGCGATATGACGACGAGGCCATGTGCGGCCACAAAGAAGGCCAGGTCGAGTGTGTTATGAACGAAAAGGGGAAGAGCGCGCGCGCCCGGGCGACGCATCAGCTGACGACGCACTTCTCGTCGGCCTTGCCGCCCCCGGGGTCCGTCGGCGTCGGCGGCGACTGGGGCTCCTCGGGCGCCTGGGCGAAGGAGACGCGGTCCTTCTTCGGGTCCGGCGGCGCGAGGGGCGAGCCGACGTCGACGTCGATGGTGACCTGCGCGGTGCCTCCCGGCGAGAAGGGCTCCGCGCGGGGGCTGTGGGGCGAGATGAACTCGACGCCCGGGAGGTCGTTGGCGGACTTGGGCCACCGGAGCTCGGCGTCGATGTCGGACCGATCCGGGATGTTGATCGACGACGTGCGGCGGCGCCGCGTGGTCGGCCGCGCGGCCGCGGGCTCGGCGCCGGCTTTCGTCGCGGGCGCGGCCTTGCGCAGGGGCGGCGCCGGCGGCGCCCCGAGCGTCGGGATCTTGCGGTGCGGCGGCCTGTCGGACTGGGACCCCGCCGCCGGCGCCGCGAGGAAGAGCGTCGAGAGCTCCGGCGGCGGGCTGCCCCCCGGCGTGACGACGTTGGGCTCCGTCGGCGTCGGCGGCTCCGTCGGCGGCTGGAGCTCCCGACTCCCCCGGGCGAAGGAGACGCGGTCCCGCTCGCCGGCGGCGATGCGCGCGAGCTCCTCGGTCCGGAACTCGTCGAGCTCGAAGGACCGCCGCGGCGACAGCGTGTCCGTGTGGATGCTCGAGGGCTTCCGCGGCGACTCCGTCTTCATGCTCTCGCGGATCTCTTTGAGGCGCTCGAGGCGCTGGAGGTCCTCGGCGGAGCTCGACCGCCGCCGCCGCCGCCGCACGGCCGCGCCGTCGAGCCCGCTGCTGCCCGTGACGTTGATGTCGTAGACGGGCGTGACCTTGCTGTCGCAGCGCTGCAGGAACTCGATGGGCGGCGGCCGCCGGGGGCTCCTGGAGAGGGGCAGCCCCGGCGGCGGGGGCTCCTCGGCCGCCGCGCGCGCCGGGACCTCCTCGCCCATCGTCCTCGGTGCGCTCGAGTCGAGGGGTAGGTTGTGTCGACGTCGGATGCGCCGCCGAAGGTGGGCTGTAAAGATTGCGTCAAGAATCCGGACGTAATATAGGTGAGGCATTATTGAAGGGCAACGACTCGGCAAGGCTGCCCCGATTTCTGGCCGTTGCTCATTCGAACGCGAACCTTCCAGTTCCAGCTCGTCGTCGCACCGCATTCGCAGCATGGACAACTTCGTGACCAAGACCGCGCCGCAGCCGCTCGCGCCGTCGAAAGGCGTGGACGACTCCGCCGCGCGCGCGGCCTGGAACGCCTTCGCCAAGCCCGTCACCGAGGAGGCCTTCGTCGCCTGGTACCTCGCGAACGTGAGCGCCGGCGGCGGCAAGAAGCGTGGCGCCGCCTCCGGCGCCGAGCCGGCGCCCAAGCGCCAGGCGCAGGCGGCGCCGGCCGGCGCCGCGGCGACGCTCGGCAAGGGCAAGCGCACCGCGCTGCTCAAGGGCGTGACGACGAGCCTCAAGGCGAACATCAAGGGCAAGAAGGGCGCCAAGTGGCACGCGGGCGACGTCGAGACGCTCAACGGCACCGCCGTCATGGACAAGGCCGAGTTCGACGCGCTGTTCCCCGGCGTCGCGATGACCAAGAAGGGCGTCGCGACGTCCTTCGTCCTCGAGGGCGCGAGCCTCGAGGCGGCCTTCGGCGGCTTCAAGGCGTCGGTCGTCTGCTGGAGCCGCACGCGGCCGGGCTCGTTCCAGAAGTCCTACAAGACGGGCTCGCAGGACGTGTCGTTGCGGTCCGCGGAGGGCAAGTTCTCCACGGGCACGTCGACGCTCACACTCAAGTTCCGCGTCGAGGTCGCCGGCGGCCACGGCGGCTTCGGCGGCATGTGCTTCGGCGGCGGCTTCGGCTTCGGGGCCGACTACTAGGGCCGCGCGCGCCGAGTCCGCCTCGCCGTTCGTAGCCACAGGAAAGGTCGAATTACAATCCACAAGACTAGTGTTTCTGCCACGCCTGGCGGTGCGATATGGACGACTTGCGGAACGCCACGGACGGGCGGAGCCAGCGGACCTGGTTCTTCGACGTCGCGTTCGAGAGCGCGTCCTTGGCCTGGAGCGCCTCCGCCGCGACGCCGTCGAACATGCACCCGAGGACGACGCCGATGACGCCGAAGCAGACGAAGTAGATGCCGAGGTCGCGGACGTACGCGGCCTCCCTCGCGGGCTGCTCGAGCTTCAGGCAGTATTTGTTGCCGCAGTTGAAGCCGTGCCACAGGATGCCCGGCAGGTCGTTGCGCCGGTCGCCGCCCCGGGGCGCCCAGCACTTGCGCACGTCGCCCGCGCGGATCTTCGAGTGGCGGTCGCCGCCCGGCCGCTCCACGCGGATGACCTCGCTCGCGTAGGTCGTCGGGACGTCGTCGAGGCTTCGCGTGGCGACCGTGTACTTCCACGTGTCGTAGCGCTCCGACGAGTCGAAGAGCGACAGCTCCGAGCCCCGGTAGTCGAGGTCCGTCACGTTGCACGACTTGCCCAGGTAGCGGAACGCCGTGCCCATCTGCGAGCCGACGACGGCGTAGGGGATGCCCGAGCCGATGAGGACCAGCGAGAGGAACAGGAGGCAGTAGGCCACCGTCGCCGCGACTCTGAAGACCTTCTCCTGGTTCGCGATGCCCCGATCGCGGATCTCGTCGAGCTGGATCTCCTCCTGCTTCTTGACGGGCGGCGC